GATTGAACAGTTAGAGGCCTGTATTAGACATGAATGGGAGAGCATTCCTATTTCTAAACTGGAGAAACTGGTCTCCTCTGTCCCCAGACGTCTGTTGAGTGTTGGAAGAAGAAGGGGGGATGCCACACAGTGGGAAAAATGGACTTGTCCCAACTTTTTTGGGATTTGTTGACGCCATGAAATTTGGAAACAATAGATTTTTCCCTTAAAATGAAACATTCTCTCAGTTTAAACTTTTGATCTGTGATTTGTGTTCTATTCTGAATAAAATATTAGATGTTGGCACCTCCACATCATTACATTCAGTTTTTATTCACAATTTGTTTAGTGTCCCAACTTTTTTGTAATCCGGTTTGTAGCTGCGGGGCAGTACTCTGAGGCACATATTTTATGTTGTTCCTTTGAATATGTTTTGTTAGGTTTATGTTTCTTCTTTTTTTGTGAAAGCAGATTTCTTCTGTTTTCTGTTCTGGACATTGCATCACTCATGCGTTCACAGGTTGTTGGTCGGCCACCATACTCTGGGACTTTTTTCAACAAAATGGAGACATGGTTTTAGACCTGTTTATTTTCAGGTTTTGTTACAGACATGTTTTATGATTTTATTTAATGTAACTGATTTTAATATCTGTGTTACAGCTCTGCTGTAAATTAATTACCTGTAAATGGACTGTACTTATATAGCGCCATTCTATCTTATTTCAAGATACTCAAAGCGCTTTACAACACAATCTGTGCCTCATTTACCCATTCATACAGCACTCTACTAGATCTCTACAAAGCTAATTGAACAAATCATTCTAAAGAGACTAATCAGTGCTTTATCACATTCATACACTGATGGGACACACATCAGAGGCTATGAGGGGTTCAGTGTCTTGCCCAGAGACACTTCGACATGTGACTGCTGGTGGATTTGAACCCCCCAACTCTTGTATTGAAGGATGACTGCTCTAACCACCCAGTCACAGCCGCCCAGAGAAATAAAAGTGAATGAAGCGAATGAAGAGAATGAAAGAGAAAAAAAGAGTAGAGGTCATAGAATCTGTGGACCAGGAAGTGGGAAAGATTAGTGAGGGTGAAGTCCAGAAAGCTCTGAAAAGAATAAAGAAGGGGAAGGCAGTAGGACCTGATGGCCAGTGGAGGTTTGGAAATGTCTTGGAAAGATGGCAGTGAGGTTTTTGACTCAAATATTCAATGGCATATTTGAGGGTGAGAAAATGCCTGAGGAATGGAGGAGAAGTGCTGGTGGCCATTTTTAAGAACAAGGGGGATGTAAAGTTGTAGCAACTACAGGGGAATTAAGATTATGAGTCACACGATGAAGATCTGGGAGAGAGTTGTGGAAGCAAGACTTAGACGAGAGGTGACTATCTGTGAGCAGCAGGATGGTTTCATGTCAAGAAAGAGCACCACAGATCCATCTTTTTTCTTTGAGGGTGCTGATGGAGAAGTTTCAGGGGTGATTTGTGACAAAAGGGTGTCAGCAAAGGTCAAAGGAAAAGTTTACAAGACAGTGGTGAGACCAGCTATGTTGTATGGTCTGGAGACAGAGACATGGACAAAAAGACAGGAGACAGAGACATGGACAAAAAGACAGGAGACAGAACTGGAAGTGTCAGAAATGAAGATGTTGAGGTTCTCCTTAGGAGAGACAAGGATGTAGTAGATTAGGAATGAGATCATCAGAGGTACAGCACAGGTTGATGAGATGGAGCCGAGGAGTCTCTAGAGACAAGATGTTCCAGGGGCCCTAATGGACCCGATCATGGAAACATGGCAGAAAACAGATGGCCTTTTAACTCAAACTAGTTTTAAAATGTACAATATTTTTCCCTCTTGATTCTTGTAAATAATGTAATCACCGTTCTGTTGAATAAACTGGACTCATCAGAACAAGGACCTGATGAGGTGGTTCTGGAAGCAGTAGCCCAGCATCCCTGATGGCAGCCGTTCTCCACTGACACCATGCTTTGACCAACATGTTTAATAGAAAACAGAAAGCTTTTATCTGCACAAGTGAGCAGCTGGGACCAAAAAGTCCAGGTTCAGGTTCTGCTCATCATCTTCATCATTTCTTTCTCCTGACTAGAGTCCAGCCCTCCACTTCGTCCTGAGCTGGATGAACATTTGTTCTGTTACCCGATGGGTTGGATTCTTCGCACTCCATCACCTAGAAACATAGATTTAAAATGGTTGTCATGGAAACAGATCATTTACATGAACTGCTTAAGGTTTTCAGTTCACGTTTATTAGAAGTAAAAAATAACCAACAGCTACATGTTCCAGGTAAGGCATACCTGAGTTTCACCGTCACTCTCCTCATCAGACGGTGTGGGTGGAGCCATGACCTTTGCCCTTTGTGACTTGTTGTGTGTCAGTGTGTTGATGGTGTGTTGAACCTGCTGCAGCGCCCCCTGCTTCCACTGAGAAAACAGCTGCAGCAGATGAAGCGATACCTGCACACAAACAAACAGGCCTGTCGCAATAAACAATAAATCAATTAATCGCATGATAAATGAAAATTATCGACCTCATTTTAATTTATTGGCTTTATCATTTCTTCGTGTATCTTTTTTTTTTACTGAAGACACGGCTCAACTCCGATGTTCTTCACTGACCCCTCCCTTTTTCTTCTCTCTTTAAAATCCATTTTAATCGTCCAAAATCGCGTTTTTGGATCGTTAAAAGCAGCTAAGCTGAGAAGCTAAGCTACGAGCTAAGCTAACAGGCCGACCTCGGGGAAAAAACCTCAGTCTTATCAAAGCTCCAAAATTCATGGTTGAAACCCATACCTTCATGCAAGAAGTTGTTTTTCTCTGCAAAAAAAAAGCTGAGAACTTGTTTACTGATTTTTTATTAAAAGCTTTGTGTGAAAAATGCTAAAGATATAAAAAAGTTACGTCAGGTCCTCTGGACATTCAAAAAACAAAACAAACAAAAAAATGTAGAAACTTTTCCAAAAAAAGTCCATGCTCAATAATCCAGGTATACAATCCAACAATTTTCAGTCAGGTCATCTGGACAGTTTCTTTTTTTGCTGAAACGTTTCACCTTCCATCCAGAAGGCTTCGTCAGTCAAGGAAACACACAACACAAAACTGATTCTTCCCTCAAACAGCTTACTCCAAAGTGGAACAAACCAGTTATGTTGGTGCTAAAATGGTGTCTTTGACAGGCCCCCTCCTCTTGTGCCGGCCCTCTTCCTCGTCGACAGTCATGTTGAACTGGTTCAAAACCAAAAAAGGTCCATGCTCAATAATCCAGAAAGGTAGAAACGTTTCGTCTTTCATCTGAAGGATAACTTCATTAGTCAAAGAAACACACAACACAAAGTTTTGTGTTGTGCGTTTCTTTGACTGATGAAGCCTTCTGGATGGAAGGTGAAACGTTTCAGTAGAAAAAAAAGACCGATGACCGGACTGAAAATTGTTGGATTGTATACCTGGATTATTGAGCATGGACTGTTTTGATATGAACAGATTAAGTGTTTACATGTACACCATTCGGATGATGGATCGGCATAAACCACCTGTCTCATTTTGATTACAAATTCTTTTGGATCGAGCTGAATCAACAAAGAATAATCCAAACGGGGCGTTTACATGAAGCATTTTTATTCAGAATGGGCCTTTAATCCAATTACTTATGTTCATGTAAACATAGCTACAGTCTGTCATCAAGGGTCAGAGCCCTGACTAATGGGGTCATAACAGGTCACCATGGGTCAGAGTTAATGACCACGTGTCACAGCTGGTCCCCAACGGTCACAACGTTCTGAACAAGCATCACAGTCTGTCACCAGGGGGTCAGAGCCGCTGGCTCTACTGCTTCAGTGTGTCTGTGGGTGCACATGTACCTGTGGTAAACTGCCATCCTCCACCACAGTGTTGAACTCTTGATTCATCAGCTCAGACAGGAAGTCCTCAACGTCGCTTTGCTCCAGGTCAGCTGACACACACACACACACACACACACACACACACACACACACACACACACACAGACAGACACACACACACACACACACACACACACACACACACACACACACACACACACACACACACACAAACAGTACATGCCTTCTGTTTAAGATCAAACTGACTGATTAGTAATCACATCTTGATCAATTACTGATCTGATTTTCAGATAAAGTTTGTAGCTGAGAGTCTGAAATAAAAGTTGTTCAGAAAGGGGCACGACACGTCAGGGACTTTGGCCTCTGCAACCATCTGTGCTGGGTCCAGAGGGCCTGTTAACTTTGTTAGAACTATGTGGAATGTTCCCTCCTCCTTTTGGACAAACAACTATCTGGCAGTAAATGGCAATTTTCCCGAGGTCACTTGCCTTTGGGAGGTTGCTCTTCTCTAAGAGGTTTCTGTCGACCGGGAGTGGGGAGCAGTTGTTGATATGGATAAGGATAGTGGAGTGTTTGTATTGCATTTGTATTGCTCGTGGTTTGGAGTCTGAGCGGAACTGCTGATCTCCGCTTATCGTTCGGAAGTGGTGTATCAGAATGGGGGGGGGGGGGGATTTGGTGGGCGTGGTGCTCGGTTCTGTTAACAGGATGGGGTGCCCTCCTTGGATAATGGTAGGGGGAACACTGAATGGAACACCTAAGTCATTTGGCTCAAACTACGATGATCACAAACATAAAAACAAAAACTAATAATTACAGACTGAAGATCCACAGACCAACCTGCACCACTCTGGGGTCAGATGTGTCGTAAATTAGGGCTCGATATTTTAAAAATATCGAGATAATTTCATTTGCGATACAAGATGAGACTATATCGATATAAACAATATAGTGTTTTTCTTGAAAATCTGCCTGCTGTCTCTTTTTCTCCCACGTGGCACCTCCTCTCCCTCTCAGCCCAGCCCCTTACCCACTCCCGTTTCATGCTTCTCCAGGTGGAGCGGCACCGCCAGCACATAGCAGCCACAATTAGTCACAAAATGGAGAGCATATAGCAGAGCAGCTGGTAAGCAGGAAAAAAATAATGGCTCTGTTATTTGGAGATGGTTCAGATTTAATTTGTCAGATGTGCAGCAGAAAAATGTTTTCTGTGGACTGAAAACAAGTCCCGACGAAAGGTTTGAGCACAACAAACCTTTTGTCACCATTTAAAACAGCACTATAAAGTGGAGTATGAAGAGTGTGATAAACTTTGTGCTGCAGCATGGCCTCAGACAATGGACTTGTGTCTATACTGGTCCTGTTAGACCTCAGTGCTGCATTTGATACAGTTGATCACAATATTTTACTACAGAGGCTTGAATATGATATTGGGATTACAGGAACGGCTCTAAAATGGTTTAAGTCATATCTATCTGATAGATTCCAGTTTGTAAATGTAAATGATAAATCTTCATACACCAAAGTTAGTCATGGAGTTCCTCAGGGCTCAGTGCTTGGGCCAATACTCTTTACTTTATATATGCTTCCATTAGGTAAAGTTATTAAACAGCATGGGATCAATTTTCATTGTTATGCTGATGACAGACAATTATATTTGTCCATTAAACCCAATTAATCCAATCAGCTACTTAGACTACAAGCATGTCTTAAAGACATAAAAACCTGGATGACCCTTAATTTTCTCCTGTTGAACAGACAAGACTGAAGTTTTGGTTTTTGGACCTGAGCACCTTAGGAATGAATGTTTCAGTCTTTCTCCCTCCTTAGATGCATTAATCTGTCCTCCAGCTCTAATGTTAAAAATCTTGGTGTTACTTTTGATCAGGACATGTCTTTTATCCCCCACATTAAAAACGTTACTAGAACCTCCTTCTTCCACCTGCGTAATATCACTAACATTAGAAACATCTGATCTAAAGATGATGCAGAAAAACTGGTCCATGCATTTGTCACGTCTAGACTGGACTATTGCAATGGTTTATTATCTGGATGTCCAAATACTTCTTTAAAACGTCTTCAGTTGATCCAAAATGCTGCTGCTAGAGTCTTAACTGGAGTTACTGGGAGAGATCATATCTCTCCAGTTTTAGTTTCTCTCCATTGGCTCCCTGTCAAATCCAGAATAGAATTTAAAATCGTACTTCTAACCTACAAAGCTCTCAACAACCTAGCTCCATCTTATATTACAGATCTTATTGTTCCATATTTTACTAACAGAGCACTTCGCTCTCAGACTGCAGGTTTACTTGTGGTTCCTAGAATTTACAAAAACAGAATGGGAGGAAGATCTTTCAGTTATCAGGCTCCTCTCTTGTGGAACCAACTTCCAGTTTCTGTCCGTGAGGCTGACACATTATCCAGTTTTAAAACTAGGCTTAAGACTTTCCTTTTTGATAAATCCTATAGTTAGGGTTGGCTTGGGTTTCCTGAGCTGTCCCTTAGTTCTGCTGCTATAGACTTAGACTGCTGGAAGACAAACTGACCACAATTTTCACTCTGCTACTGTCTTTACTTACTCTGCTCAACCTGTTTGGTATTTGTAATTATTTTTTCTATCCTTAACATGTGGTTTTTTTTTGTCTTTCAGATACACCTGGACCTATACCTGGACCTGGACCTATATCTGGACCTGGACCTATATCTGGACCTACCATTCTGTGTTCGTCTGTCTCTCCTTCCTGTCCTCTCAACCAGCCGGTCAAAGCAGATGGTCTCTTGTCCTGATCCTGGTTCTGCTGGAGGTTTCTTCCTGTTAAAGGGAGTTTTTCTTCCCACTGTCTCCACTGTGCTTGCTCAGGATGGGAGACTGCAACGAAGCCAAGATTCAACTTGTCTGCTGGATTCCTTAGATAGAGAACTTTACTAATTGGCTTTTATGTGAATGTTCCTGTAAAGTCCCTGAGACAACTTTGTTGTGATTTGGTGCTTTATAAATAAACTGAATTGAATTGCAGCTCCAACTGTGAAGTCTTCACATCTTCCTTCATTGAAACAAACTACGGTACAAAACTCTTTTATACGGTGGCCCTAAGGTGTAAATGAACATTTGAAAAAAAAAATGAATTACATTTGAAAAAACGCAACAAAAACACAACAACACTTGGAAAAAACAGAATTACATTAAGCCAAAGAGGAAGTGGCCCGAATCACATTAGAAAAAACAGAATTACATTTGAAAAAACGAAATTACACTAAGCCAAACAGGAAGTTTTTATTTTAATGTTATTGTTTTTTACTTATTAACAGCATAAAACCGAACAACAGAACAATATAAAGTAGACACACAACAGAGTAGGGGTTGAACGACTACATCATTTTAAAACTTGACATTAACATAATAAAACTCGAGTAGAACTCGAGTATTTGATGACATCATAGGATCTAAAGATACAAAAATAAATAAATAAAACCGCATAAAAGGTCATTATCTACAAAAAACCAAAAACCTCCACTCTGGAAGGTGGGTTCAGAAACATCTAGATTCAAAGGGGGGGGGGGCACTGGTGGTGTGTAAATGAACAGCAGAACCGCAGAGAGAAAGAAGCAGATTCACTGAAAATACGCGCCGTGTAAACAGCCCCTTAATTCAGTCTGAGGTGCTGTATTCAGCTCAGTCTTATAAATAGCACCTTCTCATAGTGGATCAACCAGTTTTTTATTGTTGACATTCAAAACCAGCTGTCCACATGATCAAAAAGGACCATCAGCCTAACGATGGATCGTTAGCACACTGATGGCTGTTTGCTATTTACAGGGGGCTCAGTGATACTAGCAATAACAGCATTGTAAGAGGGGGACAGTTCAACATGGAGGCCTCCAGAGGACCTGACTTAACTTTTTTAGATTTTTCTACCTGGATTATTGAGCATGCATCAAGTTGTACTGTATATTCTTCTGTTGTTCGGTTTTATGCTGTTAATAAAGTTCAATTTTTTATAAAAAATAAAAAAAAACTTACTGTTTGGCTGTTAGGATGGGAGCTGGCTGCGGGCCACCGAACCCGGAAACCCGCCTCCAGCCCACGTCGCTTCCCCCGGCTCGAATCTCCCTCAGAAGTGGCAACTCACAATATCAATAAATCAAGGAAATGTCAATTAAGTTTTATCAATTATATTAAATCAAGGCAGGAAAAGGTTTCAGTTTACAGCGCTGGTCTCTCCATCTGTGACGCGATCACAAACCCGGAAGAGCCCCTATGTCCCGTGTCATTACTCATTTATAGTGTCCTAGACAGATTTTACGTGGACTGACGTAAACGGAAATATGAGACGGTGCTTCAAAAGCCTTTCTACATGATGTGGCAAGCAGAAATAAACTATTCCTTGACGGATATTGAATCCCAGGGAGACTCTTTTTAGAGTTGCTGACCCAATTTAACGCAGTCAGAACCGGATCATAATTTCATTATAATCCTGTCTCTGAGCAGATCAAAACCCCAGGGCCAGTCTAGATAAAAATATCTAACAACTCCCCCTGGTTCGAGGGGCCCTAAAAGGGTTCCCTCAAATAAACTTCCAGTTCAATACCGCCCGATATCTTCTTCTTCTTCTTTCGGCTTTTCCCTCTTCAGGGGTAGCCACAGCGAGTCATCCTCCTCCACCTCACTCTGTCCTCTGCATCCTCTGTCCTCACTCCAACTACCTTCATGTCCTCTCTAAATGCATCCATATATCTCCTCTTTGGCCTTCCTCTTTGTCTTTTTCCTGGCAGCTGCATTTGTAACCCAACCTAATCTTTTCCTCCCTGGCTCTGATCGAGGTGGCTGCTTCTGTCATCCCTCCCCCGTTTTTCCTTCTTCCTGCTCTGCTCTCTGTGTGTCTGAAGTGCCTGGTTCACATCTCCTGAACATAAATTAAGAAGATTATGGATTTGGTATCGTGGGCGTTCAACTCTATTGATAAGATTTTTTCATCAAAGCGACAAGGTCCTGGAGAACCTGCGTGTCTAGCTGAGACTCACGCTGTGGGGTACGTCATGGATTCATGGGGAGTGTGGCATCTGATGTGCCTCTCAGTTCTGTCTCAGG